TATTTGTAATATATATGTATATATTTATTATACATTCATTTATATATTTATTTTTATATCGTCGATCAGAACGTATGCAGCGCTGATAGATGTTGTTAAAATACAGATTTAATAGATTAAGAGGGGTGTTCCCCAAATAGGGGTTAGCCTGTAGTGTTAAAAGACATTATATTTCCCCTCGTTTTATGGAAGTGTCCCCTTAATAGGAATGTCCCCTGATTATAGCGTACTGTACTTGCAGATAATCATTATGGGCCTCTCAAAATACATTTCCGAGTATCTAAACACAGAATATTCTGGGGAAGACAACCACAGCTCAACCTCCGGTCCCATGATCCTTTTCCCTTCCCCTTAGAAGATCCCTTAGAATGCTGGGATCGTCGATGAGTGAGAACCTTGTTAACATTTGTTACAATGTTTTTTACTTCTTGCAAAGTGTTGTACGTGCATATTAATATTTTTGTCAGTTATACAAATTTACTAAACGTCCTAGCAATAATACCTACCGGTATGTGAAAACAGTATAATTACTTTGTACATATTTAAAGAAACAAATTACTATTGTAACCTGGTTTAAAAAATACATTTATTCTGTGTATTGCATTGCAGGTTGTCTGACAATATTTAAAACATTCTAAAGAACAGTACAAATGTTTATATGTCTTAAAGTACTTAAAAAATACCTTTCAACAAAATAAATATTCACAATAATCAAATTATCAATCAATTACCAGATTTATACAGGAAAGTAAATCCTTATAAATGTGTGGTTCGATTGCCTGCCGGTGCACCGCTCAGAGGACATGGAGAATAAACCAGAGAAGTTAATAAAAAATATAATTGGTGGCCACTGGGAACACACCTGAAGGAGTAGCATCATCATCATGCTTGACCCATCCCAGCTGCAGACCACACATATTCAAAAGGTAACTCTATTTGTAACCAATGTTCAAATAGATACGTTTCTATGTAGTAAAATACAAAAGCATACAAATGACATGCCACAGACCCATTGTACATTATTTGGGATAGTGCATTCTGTTAAACTTAACAATAAAATCAGTATTTTCATAATTATTGAACAATTTATCATGGTTCAATATATACACTTAGTCAAACCATGTAGTGCATATAACTTTAAGACATGCCTCAAATGGCACCATATTATAATTGCAGCACTCACTAAACATATTTAATTTAATTTAAATAATGTATATTAATTCAATCTAACTTACAGTAACTCTAGGCCACTGGAACAATAAATAGAGTACATACAACATGTCGTATATAATAGTGAGCACTTGGAAGAAACCACTGAGGTGCAATAGCTTATTAATCTCTTTTCTGCTCTTGAGTGCATGACGTAGGCAGATATATAATTTTAATGCCTTTACAGGATTATGTGCGCTCATTAATAAAATAAAAATTACAATTAAAACTTTTCTTGTCTTGGAAACCAAAAATAATGTCTTTGAGTATTTTTCTCTTAATATTTACATACATTTCGTTTTCAATCCCTTCCCTTTGAAAGTATTTTTCTCTTAAATATTTACATACATTTCGTTTTACAATCCCTTCCCCTAAGCAGCAATCAAAAACAATGAAAGCAAAATAATTGTTTAGGCCTGTAAATTTCACAAAAATGAAGCAACAGCATCCCACATGTCTTTCGTTTGTTGTTTAGCCGTACTATCGCCACTATAATCCAGGCAATCTCCATGGAACACTCCAACTCCACGGAGGGTAACACTACTGGCGTAACTGTAACGGTACTTGAGACTCTGCGGGTCATCATACCACATCTGGTGGGTAACACCTGTTGAGGTGCTCTAGAGGACAGACAAAAATGTACCCCTATTATATAATGGTATCTACCAAGGCAATTCAACAGGACTCTCAGTTTCTAAGTAAATCATCTTTATTTAGGTTAAGCCATTTTAGTTTATGGTCAGAAGTAATCTTAGTCTATCTTGCATTATATTCAAACCATCTTACATTTAAAATCAAGACATATCTTACCTTATACTGAAAATAAGGAGCAGCATAAGTACTGTTCCACAGACGTCCTGTTGTGGAATTAACACTCAACATCTTCTGTATGGCACCATACTCAATCTGTTTGCCAGCAGCATCACTGCATGGTGCTCCACGGATTGGAACCTTCTTAATAGTGCATACATGATGCTGGTGAAAAGAAACAGGAATTTTAAAGAGACCTCATACTGTACTAACAAACCTATTTAATTGAATATATTATAAGAATGCCAAAAGGGCAAGAAAGGTTTGTGAATCTGATAATTAGCTGAATTGGAATAACTACAAATATATTGAATATAAGCCGAAGGAATAAATTATTTTTCACTGAAAATACTAAGTAATAAATTGCTAAAACAAAGCTCCAAAAAGGGCTTTCCAAATAAAAGACAGATAAGTGTAAGTCTGTTGAAGAGAAGAAAATTGAGTGTTTTATGAAAACCACGGATCTGATCTATGATTTATCATTGTGGAGGGTGGAATTTCAGCAAAGCTGGACTTAAAGCCAAGTGTACCTCAGTTAAATCGATGCAGGAATAATCATACCCATACCAGGGTACACCAAGTACAAGTTTATCAGGTGAAATACCAAGCTGTAGATACTTCTCAACACCTGAAAGATACAATCAAGACAATGTAAAAGGCTAAAAAAAATTGTGTTAGTTTCAGCTCCAGAATTTGAAATTATGTTTAGGTATTAATTACTATTTTCCATTTACTATCCTATAACTATTTGTATAAAGGCTGGTAAATAATAAAATTTTTTATTTATAAAATAAGTTAAATGGATCTTTGTAATGTATTCTATCATTTCTGTTTCCACCTCCTTTCAGACCATCATTATTAATATTTAATATATTTTCCCATGGAAAAAATATGGTAAGGCTCCAAAATTAGATGAGAGTGCAGAGGTGAAATTTATATTTCTATTTGGCCTAAAATGTAAAAAAAAATATTTAAAAAGTGATACGGGGCATTAACCCTGCAATTATCTATCAGTGAAAATAAATCAATTGAACAGTATAGATTTGCAAACATGTGACTTTGCTGGACTGACAAGATTGGACCAAATTATTGCATTAACAACTTACTTCTATTAATTAATCATTAAATCATTAAACTATTGACTATTGATTGTTATTCCTAATCATGACATTTTAGATCAACTAAATATAAACCTTCATTCACCAAACATCAATTCACGCACCAGAAACAGTTTTATTATATGGTGAATTTGCCATAGCGATGCAGTCACCATAAATCTGGCTCTGTTCATCATACGACATCAAAAACAAGAAGTCACATGACTCTGCAAGACCTTTGTAGTCATAGCAGCATTCGTTAATACAGTCAGGTGAATACATAACATCAGTGGTAACCTGGAAAATAAATCATTATATAAGATTATTATGCATTCATCAGGGTGGATCGAGAGAAAAATGTGAGTAGGTATAATGGGCTGTACAAAGCACTGAGCCTGGGGTGTAGGGGATGTATGGTTCAATTCCCATGACTGCTGTAATTGTGGTTCAGCTTGTGGCTAAATTTAAATAGCACATCGTCTTTCGGACGAGATGTAAACTGCAGATCATGTGTGCAATATGACCCAAGAATGCATAACACTTTTTGGAAATAAGTAGAGATTATCACCTGAGTACTGCCAATTCACTACGAAAGGACCGACTGGAAGGCATTAAAAACTTTTGTGGGGTATCCTTGCTTCACACCAAAATGCCAGTCCAATCTGGTGCTTCTTAGAAGTTTATGTGTGATAGGCAGATTATTTGGTTTGGCGCATGGTTTCTCAACATTGAGGTCAGCATTTTAATTCTCACTCTACATTTGTCTCCTTGAGCAAGGCATTTTCTTTGCACCTTGATTCTCACCACTCAGGCGTATAAATGGATACCTGGTGGTAGGGTTGCTTGTTCCTGCGTTGATTACAGCAGCAACACTTAAGCATAGGGACCGATTATCAATCAAATTAAAAATGCAAACAAGTCATAACCACAGTACCTGTGAACCTGGTATAGCTTGATGGAAAGCTTTGGTGGTGTCAGCAACCAACTGTGTTAGTAACGGAGCTTCCGATTTGTCCAAAGGGTATTCAATGTCGATATTGATACCATCCATAAACTGATCAACTGCCAACTGAACTTGTTTGGAGATCCATTGCTGAGTTACTGTTTCATTTTTAAGTTGTGTTGCTGATAGGTAACCTGTAGAATATCCAAACAAATTTGAGGTGAGTAGGTACACACTTCCTGATAGTTGTCAGTCAACTCAATTCCATAGGGAACACACTTCACATGGCGCATTCAGCAGATCATTTAGATAAAGATCTGCTCAACAATTAGCAGATTGCCTCGCATCATTAATCTGCTGAAATGGATTCGTCGGGCATGTGCGTGCCAGGCTTTGAAAAACAACACGAGATGTACCACGTCCAAAATCATTGTACTCATTCTATTATAGCAATTGCAATCATAATCACCTACAATTATCACTATCACAATGTTCAACATAATAATGGCATTCCAAAAGTTACATATAGGCTCACTATTTATAAAAAAAAAAACAAAAAAAAAACCAATAAATTGTAACAAAATAAATCATTACCCTTTAAAACCACCCTGGCACTCTTTGAGTGGGCATAGCACATCAATTGAGGGTCATACTCTTCAAACATAGCAACTGTTGTCACAACTGACCAATCATAGCTCTTCCAATCCGTGCCTCTACGATGAAATACAAATATCTACAAAGAATTATTAATAACATTTTTAGTACACATGATAATAAACATAAATATAATTAAGCTTAAATATACAAAATTAAAATGTTTAAAGAAAGCATATTAGAAGGAAGATCAAAATAAAAAATAAAAATTATTAATTTTGTAATGTAATATTTTGCTATATTATATAGCACAAAAAAACCATCAGCCAGGACAACTGTTTGGTTTCTATTCAATCCATGACTGACATAGAATTACAATGACAAAAAAAAAATAAATAATACAAAAATTGTACTATGGTAATGTGCTACCATTGCATAACAAATCTGCACAGTGAAGAATAATAGATATAGATAGACAGATTTTAAAATTTCTGTAGTGCTGGTTAAAACGGAGTTGTCACTAGTGCTTTACAATATATTGCAAAAATAAAGAGCAAAATACAATAATAATAATAATAAAGACCCTGAGTGCCCTCCCCCAAGATACCTCAACTTATTCTTCTATTTGTTTGCGTGCATGTTTATTTGGGTTATGCAGTTAAGTTTGCAGTGGGGATAAATTCTTTTTTTTTTAATATTTAATGAAGCGTATTAAATCTCCTCCATTTTGTGCTATATAGGAAGAACATTATTACTTATTATTCTTATTCCATATTCTGTAAAAAAACAAACCCCAGTAGCGAATCCAGAATCCAAGAGGGGAAGCTCGCTAGGTTAACAGTTTGGGGTCTGGGGGCCCTCCACACAACATTATTGTTCCTTTGATTTTGCAATTGAGCGATCAGTATATTTCTTCAAATATCAATTAATTTTGCATTAAAAAAATGATGAAAATTATTCATATAGACAGTAACACAGTTTAAATAGTTGGGCCCTAATGTGAGAGAAGTAAGTTCATTGTTGGAGTGAGTGAAGATGGGAATCAAAGATGTCGCTTTCAATTGTAGACTATTTGGTAAAAAAGAAGCCATTTAGAATTAGATGCCCATTGACTTTGTTTCTAACTTGGTTAGAGAACTTACCCTAGTCCAGACCTAGCACTTTTTTTGAAGGGTACAGGTGGCCGGCAACTGTATTTACCTACATACCACCCCCCTCCCCACCCCCTAGATCGGCCCATGAAACCACACACCAAAACAGAGTGGCATGCTCATCACGGTGGTGCCCTAAATGGGTTCTCCTCATCCATTCAACAGTGCTACATCAAGTTGGCAACACTTCCAAAGATTATTTCCTTTACTAAGCTAGAAGTTGCAGGGTAGGGTTAGGCCCCATCTAAAAAAAATTATTAGTTTATCACCATATCAACGAAAAACTGATGAGGAAGGGAGGTTTTTTTCTTTTTTCTTTGCTAACCCCACCACCATTTTACCGATGTTCACAAGTAAATCAATGGTTAGGGACACATAGTCATAAGAATGGAATCAAATTTATATTTAAAAAATATGGTTTTTTTTTGTACCAGTAAACATATTTGCAAGAAATTCTGAACTTTTCAAGTGAAAAAGATGGGAAAACGACCGTTGGAAATAAAAATATATGTTATATGGTTAAAAAAAAAATCAGAATTTCCTCAAAAGTGATGAGGGAGGGGGTGATTAACTAACAGTTTTTTTTATGGTGCCTTATGTGCCTATAATATATGGTCATGATGTGCTGTTATTGTGACCATATTTAGGCACGTTACAGTTTTTGTTAATAGTGACTTATTCGATTACCTTGGTTAAAATCATGATACCTTTATTCTTGGGTAATATTCCAAATAGGCCTAAGGTTAAGGGACTGTTGAATCTGAGTTGTGTGATGATGTCATCTACAACTTCATTCTTAAGAAGATGTCATTCCCAAATTCATCTTAAAGTTAGTAAATTCATCTTACCAGTCTCGGACATCAGTCAATAATCCAACTTACTTAGCCGTGGGCTCAACTAATTCTGTAAGTTTTCGAGCATCTTAAAGTATTTAATTGTGTTTTTTACCACCATAATTTTTGTTCTCTTTTATAATAATGTATCATGTTTTTATTAATAAATGTACATATTGTATATAATACTAAGCTATTGCGTTTCCTATTCTCTGTTTGTGCTCTGCATGTAACAATTACACACCAGACTGAATTTGACAGTCAAAGTTTAGTATAGTGTTTAATAATGCTTTAATAACCGCCGCGGCGCTTATACATTTTTTGAAGGCTTCAGCAGTGCGGTGCTAATAAAAAAAAAAAAAATATTGGCGCGGCGCTTTCCATTATTCCTATGTTACCAATCTTACGTATTCCCATAGTTTGGTAGGCCTCATAGACCCGGCTACATTATCTTAAATAAACGTTTATAAAGATATATGCTTGTGTCTTCATTGTGTTCATTTGAACGCTGTATACTTTGTATTTATTACCATATTTCTGAAAGTGTTTTATTGCACACAGGCGCTTATTCACTCGAAATTACGCACCGAGGTGCGTATTCGAGAGCGACGCTTAGCAAAAAAAAAAATCACGTTTGGGTGCAGTCCTTATTCAAAACGGCACTTATTGGAGCATTTACGGCAACTGAAAAAAAAAATGAAATAATAGAATAAAATGGTGTTTGTAACCGCTAAAATAATCATTACAATAAAATATAAATGTAATGTAAAGTAATGCAATGGCCAAGCGTTTTCTACCGGTAGATACAAAGCGCTCCCATAAAAAAAAATGAATGCAAGTGAATATTTGTATTGAAATAATATTGAACTAGAGGGCACTCGGAGAATGCATACCTACGCCCACGTCATAATTCTCCTTAGCATAAATTTCCCGCGCATATTGTGCCCATGGGGCAAAAAAACAAGAAGACACCATGGGATTTGAACCCGGGGGCAGTAGTGTGGAAAGCACTTTTCTAACAACTAGGGCCTACACCAAACTGTTTTTACATATAGGCCTATCACTTTGAAATTAACGGTCATATGTTTGTTTGTATTTTACCGGCAAGCCTGTCTAAGCACACACACACGTCCATACGGCAAACAGTTATAAGGTTTTTTTTATCATTGTGTCCTTGACCTTTGACTCTAACCCTTTTTTCCTAAAATTTACTCACTTCCAGATCTTTGGTCATTGAACATTGTGGTCAAGTTTAACGAGTTTCCGGTTAAAACTGTTTCAAAAATCGTTCTTTGTAGATTGTGACCTTGACCTTTGACCCTGACTTCAAAATTCAATTATCTAGAGATCTTTGCATGGCCATGAAACATTGTGACCAAGTTTGTGATGAAAACTGTGGGCTGTAGACAAATAAATAAAAAAATAGATTTCCGTTGATTGTGACCTTGATCTTTAACCCTTCCCCTTTAAAATTTAATCAGCTATCTTCGGTAAAAGAACATTGTGGCCGAGTTTGACGAATTTCTGTTAAAAACTATGCGCTGTGCGCTGTTCACAGCAAATATGGCGACAGACAAATAAATAAATAAATAAACAGTGGCAAAAACATAGCTTCTTGCCAATTCGTTAGAGCAGGTAATAAAACATTGATTATTGTGTTTGACTAACCGATGCCGGGACGCATTATGTTTTTCCCTTACACTTAAGGCAGAAATTACAGAGGGCGCTATTCTATGTGAGTTTGGTGAACTGATATACATGAATATCCCTCGCGAGTCTCGAAAGCAGTGTTCGCTGCTTGTGGAATATGATTCCTGTGATGTGAAAGCCTACGGAAGCCCGTTAGTGTCAACAGTGATCTTTGGGCGGCCGCCACATAATTATCTGGCGGCCGCCAGTTAACTGATTTGAAATTTTTATTCACTGTTGACACTAACAGGCTTCCGTAGGGAAGCCATGTTTGACCATGACACCATTCTTATAGGATTTTTGTTCATCCGAGCTAGAGTCCGTAAAAACTTTTATTCTGATATTTAAGTATTGAGAAGCTTTGTTTGAGAAATATGTGCGACTCATCCAAGCTCTCTTCGTCTGACATTTTGACACTAACTTATGATGTTGGTATGAAAGTACAGGTAGCTGGAGGTGTATGTTTTTATTCCCTCTAATAAAAATTAATTTTTTTTATAAAAAAAATGTATAGAAATCTGTTATTGTAAAAAGCCCTAAAGGTACTTACCGGTATCGGTATTAGTTTCCCGCGTAAGGCTGAATACAATGGTATTATACGTCTGTGCGTTAAGCATTAGCTCTTGACTTGAAGTGCCGTCCTTTCTCAGGGGGATTACCCAGGTCGGCCGTTCAGTGCGCATGCTCATAGATACGCCGGTTTGCGCAGATGAGCTAACCCAGGGAATCTGGGGTCATTGCAGTGTGACCTCCAGGGGGTCATTACATTCCCCATTGTTTGAGAAAGGACGCCATGATGCATACGCAATAACCCAACCCACAGATTTCCAGAATTTGTATGCTTTTTGTGGGCTCCGAGCCATGGTTTACTCGGAAAGGGTTCAGTCCCATAGATAATGCGGTGGAAACCGATGAAACATTGCCACGACGACTTGTATGTAATTTTCTTTTTGGGGGCTTCCGGGTAAGCTCTTGGGCTATCCCGTGTCCAGCCGAGAACCTGGCCCACCGATTTTACTGTCTTTACCAGATGCGGGACCCCACTAGCCATCCTGAATAAGAGTAGCGAGGCCCATCAGTTTTAATAAGCCACGTGCAATCCTTTATATCCCTGCGATTATATTTGCAGCTTTTCGCTCAGTAAACCTACCAGCTCCTATGGTGGAACTGAAGTAGGTCCCTGGGGGAGGCGCAGGAACTTGGGCTTAGTATACTTACCAGCTCCTATGGTGGAACTAAAGTAGGTCCCCGGGAGGTGGCGCAGGAACTTGTCCATCAACTTTGCAGTTCATCCTGTCTGCACTCAGACCTAGGATGAACAAGCTGAAATACTTATCTCACTTGGCCTGGGAAGAGCTTTCGGGATAAATCCCCAAATGCCAACCACGAATTCCTGCTCTCGTAGGGAACAGACCTTCCTGTAAGAGGGAATGAATAGATGACGATTCCTACCACTTAAACAGGATGCAAATCCGGATGAAGTATCGAACCTAGACACCAAACTTCGACTTAACGTCAAAATGAGAGCCTTATGTCGCCACAGAATGCCACACATGATGCTTTGCGACTGAAGTTTAAAACAAGTCACACGTGTAGTCTTATTGTCCATTTTCTGTTCTGCACACCCAGGGTACAGAAACGACTTCCTATTTTGCAAAGAGTGGGAAGGCCCACCTAAAAGGTCTTGGTCCAAAGTCACCAGCCCAGGGCCGGACTACTTCCCCCTGCAAAGATATGGATGGTTTACCACTACTGGAACGGTCACACAGGCCCGCCTCAGCTGCGACCAAAGACATTAGATCAGGGCGACAAAATAAATAGAAAAACATGGCATCGTCATAATTCCTCAAACCCTCTTGAAGGAAAAACTTACTGGCCACATTTCTCCACAAAGTTCGTCATCAATGGCGGTCCGGACTCGGATAGTAATCTAGCCACCTGGATCCCAGGGATACATCAGACCACCCCAATTTCACGTTGGGGACTAATGTAGGGGATGGAGACCGTTCTACCCATTTCCCCCTGGTATCTGAACCATCCGATGAGCGCGGGTTGACAAGAGATGATTAACATGTTCTTACATAATTCCAGCTGACAACCTAAACAAGGTAGATAAATAGACAGATCATGGGATTCGTTATTGATCCCATGGTCCATGGCGTCTACCGTGGTACTTGGAATTGCACTTGGCAGTTTGGCATTGACTTCGAATGCTTTACCAATACTCTGGCCCCGTTTCATAGTCAAGTAGTAATCTGAAGTATTAGTGATACAGATGGACGATAGCTTTCCCCTACGATATACTATAGCAGGAATCGGCCCCACCATGTGACCCGCCATTGAAGTTCCCCTTCCTGCTAGAGTAAGGGTTAGCTTAGATATAATGGGTGGTAAATGTCTTGAGTACACCTTATCTGATATTATAATATGGGATGCTGCACTATCAACAACTACTGTTGTCTGAACGTCATTGACATAAGCAGTCACATACACTCCACTACCAGAATTCTTTCCTGCAGCTATAATTTCTGATGTCATTACTGATCCCTCAACATTCGAACACTTGTCAGATACATCTATCTCAGAGATGAAGTTTCTTGTGGTTCAATCGTTTGTGGATCTATTGCTTGTTGATTACTCTGTTCATGGTTGCATTCAAACAGCTCCTCTGGTAAACCAGTGGACACATAAGATAACCCAGGTGAAAAGTCTGCCTGATGCCGAACTTCTAACTTTACCCCTGATAAAACAACCCCTGTAGATTGGAGGTTGGACGGGCAACCTCCAATAGTTTAAAGGCTCTTCACCCCTCTTCTTACGCCGCCTTGGCCGCCTAACCTCAGTGTATGGCTCCCCATCTCCCTCCCTCTCCCCAGAAATGGCAGAATGCCACAGCACCCCGGCTCTTTTTGGAGAAACTCGGGAGTACGCAGACCCCTCAGTATTAGTACTGTCCTCGCCTAACTGGTGGAGGGAAGACCTTTGAAATAGTTCCAATATTTTGGTAAGCAACCCACAAAGTCATCCTCATCTCTCACATTGGGGAAAGATGGAGTGAGATAAGGCGACATGGAAGGTTCGAGATGTTTCTCCGTACCCCCCCCCCCCCTTAGTTTTACCTAACCACATAGGATAACCATTGGGAACACCACTGCAAATCGAGGAGGAGCTTCCCAGGGACTCGTCACTAGTATTAACATTAGTTCCCTTACTCTTTCCCCTATTCTCTGAGTATTGAGGGTCAGAATTACTACCCCCAAAATACTTGGACTTGCGTCCGGTGCTTAAAGATGCGCCGCTCAGTGACACCCCACTTGATTGTCTGGAATGACCACCCGACGAAAATGCAGTTTTATGTTTACGGGCTGACACCCTTAAGTGTCTATCCCTTTGACCCTCGGCTTCCTTATAGGTGGATAAAGCTTGGGAAACAGTTAGACACCCTAGGTATAGAACTAGTTCCCCCAACTTCACTTCCCTACAACTAAGACAAAACCTAAGCACGGCATGATCCTCTTTTCAACTTTCCGGAAGAGACTTATATGCTTTATAGGTAAGGGTTTGCACTCTATCCGCCCAGTCTTCAATACATTCACCATCTGCCTGTGAGGCAGAAGTTAATTTGGCTTCTCTATGCAAGTCCTTAGAAGTGGCAGAAGGAAGGGTTTCCGCATACAATCCCCCTCCCCCAATACCATTGAGCACTGTATTCGATAAAAAGTCAAAATAACCAGTAAAATCATACTTTGCAAAGCCCATAATATCTCCCAAGTTCAATCTAGTAATATTGCCATTTCGTGACCTCCAGCTTATAATTTATTTAGCTAGTTTTTCACTAATATTCGGAACAGTGCAAAAGTCATCGATAAAACAATAATTAATGAAAACTCGTTTAAATCTAGGCATTATTGCAAACTGTCTGTATTAAAATAGTAAAATCAAACAATAGTAATATAAAAATTGTCAATGTGCACCAAATTACACAACAGATTTCACAAAGATCTTGAAAAAATACAATTAAAAATTTGGTTAAAAGTACAATTCATAAAAACAGGCTATAATTACATTAATCAAAACACCTATTTAAATTGCGTACAAATAAGTAACAATGAAAATGAACACCTGTGGATAAAACCAAATAGAATGATATGCAAATATGGCCGGAACTGTACGGTAAAAGGAATACCACAACAAATTCTCTAATGCGTGTAAAGAACTTGCCATGCACCTTTCACTAAAAACGTTTAAAATTCCTACCTATTTCCTAGCTCGAATTATTCCTAATCTATTATCAGCACAATTATCAGCTGTGAGAGTACTTGGTTCACGCTAAAACGTATACCACGTGAACTTCCTCCCACCTGCTATTCGCGCTAATAAACCCGTCACCTATTTCAACGCAGCACACGAATCGGCGATACGGTGATCGATCGAAACGTCGCCGAGATAAAAACAATGGGAACGGTAAACGCCTAACTAATAATAAAATCCTAGTCTAATATATCGGAAACTAATTGTGAGGTACTTGACAGTCGCAAAAATTTCGGTCCTGTACACTTCCTGTCACAACAACCCTAATTAATATCCTAATCTAAAAACCTAACCTGAGTTTAGCTGTGAAGGTACTCGGCAGTCGGCAATCAAATTCCCGAATCTACCCACTTCCCCTCACAAAAAACCTAACTAATCACTAAAAAAAAAAAAGCGATCTTACCCGCTATCAATGTTGTAAAGAATACAACATCGCCAATATTGGTTAAATATGCAAGCGTCGTTTTCGCTCGCAGCGCCAATATTGTAAAAAGCCCAAAAGGTACTTACCGGTATCGGTTTTAGTTTCCCGCGTAGGGCTGAATGGTATTATACGTCTGTGCGTTAAGCATGTGCTCTTGACTTGAAGTGCCGTCCTTTTTCAGGGGATTACCCAGGTCGGCCGTTCAGTGCGCATGCCCGTAGATACGCCGGTTTGCGCAGATGAGCTAACCCAGTGAATCTGGGGTCATTGCAGTGTGACCTCCAGGGGGTCGTCACTACACTGTATAAAAATCTGATACCTAATTGTTCCTAGAATTGTGTTATACCAGTACCTATTGGTCACTGTGATATTGCGTTGTTTTAAAGATATTATGTTTCAATCTAATTCATTGATCATGTTTTGGACAATTATAAGATGTTTTGTTTTCACTATGGTAAACTTTAGTAAAGCCACCAAATTGCACAACTGTCACACAGTATCTATAATATGTTGGCAGGTAATTTCATCAAACACTATACAAGTTTCGAAAATTAGTCCATCGATCTTTAGAGTACTGATAGGGATCAGACAGGATTGCTGATTCCACTTTGCCAAAACCCAATTTGCTAACTGTTAAATTGCAGACTCAAACATTGTTAAACCCAGTTTGCCGAATCCTACTTGGTCGAAATCCAGTGTGCTAGATGTCAATACACACAATTTAATATTATATTATCTAAACAAATTTACTAAACATTCAAAAAGGCGCACACTACACAGCTTTTGATACATATATTTACTTCACACACTAAAGTTACTGTATAGAAATATTTGTTTATCAATTAAAATAAATGCCAAAGCCAAAATTAATTTTAATCTTTTTAATAACGATCAAGCATGTACGATATTTTTCGTGGTCTGTGATTGCTATAGTTACTGGCTAAGAAACTATGATAATTTTAGTCACTTAGATTGGTTGACATTTCTGAAACCACTACTGGAACACCGTAGCTGTATCGTCGATAGTGATGCAAATTATGACACAAACTAGGCCTATCAATTTTTCTAGTAAACAGAATCATATCTTTTATCTAAACTTGGGTAAGCATCCGATAGGCATACGGCTCCACTCGAATCGCCCATCACGTTTACCAACAAAGTAGGCTGCTTCACCCTGTTCTTTTGCAGATAGAATAGTAGCCAAACTGATTTACAACACTAGGTCAACATTTGGCAAACTGAATTTCGGCTGGGTTTCGGAAAAGTGGTATAATGATTTTTGAGTCAGCAAACTAGAGTTTGGCAAATTGGCGTTGTAAACAAGCCCTAATTATCCAAATTAAATCCATTCGCCTAATAATGTACCCTATACTTTACTTTGCCATGTTATAAATGATTTTTGTAGAATAAATGTTGTTGCTAGATTTGGCAATCTGGAGCTCGGCAAACTAGAGCAGGAGCCCAGGGGTGTCAGCATAGCTGGAAAGTTAACCAATTTGTGTGTATATAGTAATGTTCTATGTGCCTGTCTATGTAGGAGAATGGGCGTCTGCCGGTCTCATTGTGGTGGGTGTGGTCAGGAAGGGCATAAAAAGGGCCCCAAAAATTGAGCTAGATCAACTTGTGAATTAACCCAATGAAACCTATCAGAATATATTCGGCATAGTTCAAGATATCACGAATGGACAATGTCAGACATTTCCAATGGAGGGGGATGCGTGCCAGACGCAAAAAACCAGTACCGTACCCCAAAATTAAGCTAGATCAGCTTGTGAATTAACCCGATGAAACCTACTGGAAAATGTTGGGCATAGTACCAGGTATCAGGAATGGTCACCGCCAGACATTTTTAATGGTGGGGTATACCTGCCAGACACCCCCAAATACCCCGCCCAAAAAATTGACCAAGATCAGCTTGTGAGTTAACCCGATAAAACCTACTAGAAAATGTTCGGCATAGTACCAGGTATCAGAAATGGCCACTGCAAGACATTTTTAATCGTGGGGTGTACCTGCCAGACATCCCCTTATAGCCCGCCCCCGAAAATTGACCTAGATCAGCTTGTGAGTTAACCCGATGAAACCTACTGGAAAATGTTCAGCATAGTACCAGGTATCATGAGTGGCCACTGCCAGACATTTTTAGTGGTGGGGTGTACCCGCCAGACACACACTTATTCCCTCCACCCCCCCCCCCAAAAAAGATAACATAGATCAGCTTGTGAGTTAACACGATCAAACGCATTGCAAAAAATTGGCATAGCACCAGGTATCACGAA